GTTTAGCAGGTTACGCACTCTCTCACTCCCATCCCACATGTCACTCGATCTTGGAAGGCCGGCGACAGCTTGCGCTGGAAGAGGCCGCCGGCACAGATGCCGAAGACTGCCATAGGCTATTGCAGACAATCCCCGACTCCCTTAGCCGCCTTAGCCCCTTCAGCCATGTAGGGCGATTTGATGATTCGGACGTGCGCCGTCAGCTCACTCGAGACCCTCACACATTCTGCAATGGTACTCGTACCATAGCTCTGCCAGGCCTCAGCGTGGAGGCTTACTTGGTGGATGGCTTGGCCTCGCTGCAGAAGATGCTGTGCGATGGCTCATGACATGTAGTTCTGCAATAGACCAAAAGCATTGCGAGCTGTGGACAACTCGCAGATGCTTGTACAGTGGGGTCAGAAATCTCTGAGGTGTGTAGAGCAAGCTTCCATATGCGATGTATAGTGAAGTTGGATTTCTGCATTCCATCCTCTTGCTTCTGGGTTTCTATGCATCATAAGCTTCAGCGGCGCTACAAGTGCGTGTCAGAAGGGTGACCAGTGGCAGACGGCGGTCGAACTGCTCGCTGCGATGCCCCGGGTGCGAGTAGTGCCGGATGTGATCGCTTAGAACAGCGTAATTGCTGCGTGTGAGAAAGGAAAACGGTGGGAAATGGCACTTCGCCTACTGTCGGACCTAGTTGCAGCAAGACTGATGCCTAGTGTCGTTACACTGAACAGCACCATTAGCGCTTGCGAAAGGACATGGCAAGCTGCATTACAAGTTCTGATGCTAATGGATACCTGGTCGACGATGCCAGATTCGCCTCGAGAGACCTGCAGCTGAATGTCATAAGCTACAGTAGTTCTCGGTGTCGTTGTTGTTGTGGTTGTGGTTGTGGTGGTTGTGGTGGTTGTTGTCGCGGTTGCTGTTGCAGACGTAGCTGTAGACGTAGATGCAGATGGTGATGATGATGATGATGATGATGATGATGATGCGGAGAAAATGAGAGAAACAGCACGCAAAAAAAACAGAGAAAACGGCAGTCTTAACCAATATTCTCCTGAATTCATATCAAAAAAGCCGACCTGGCAGCAAGGCTGCTGCCAGGTGCTTTGGTTTTGTGTGGTCGTGTGATGACCCATGACCAGCGATGGGCGATGGTGGTTATCTCCGACGCGCTCATCTGAGTGTTCAAGCTCTCGGGCGCATGTCCTTAGTTTAGGCTTTCAACTTAGAGCCTTTTAAAGCCCGATGCTGCTCGCAAATTCAGCAAACGTCTCGCCAGGGCCTTCTGAGGACGCACAGAGTTCAGGGAAGATAACATTCTTGACTAAGGTCATGCTTGTCGTCACTCCTTACGCTGACGTGGTACCATGCCCTGGCCGTTCTCCTGGTACTGGTGGCCGTGCTCCTGCCGCTTTTTGAAGGGCCGCGGCGTGTAAAACTTGGGTTGGCATGGCAGGTGTTGGCAAGTCACCTGCAAAGACGTCGCGACGAGGTGACCTGAACGTTTTGCAGCCTGTCGCCGTTTATTGTTGCGCGTGTCCCTAGGCCGGCGATGGCAGAGCTGATGCCCTCACGGCCATGGAAGAGGGGCAGGCATCAACCGTCTTCAGTGCTATCGATGTAGCAGCTGAGTGCCCGTGGCTGCCCAGGCTGATGCTGCATTGCAGGAGGACGGCTTGCTACGAAGGTTTCTGGTGAGATGCGATGTTTTTGACCTTCCTCAGTCAGAGGTGGAATGCTACCCAGCGTTGCCAACGGCGCAGGCAAACCATAGCTTGCATGATCGCTCATAAGACAGCAGTTTGATGTCTTGTGTGGTAACGCGTGCAACATCAATTGCAGGTGGCTGTAGGGCCGCCACCTGGCCTGTCGCTGCCGCAGGCAGGCAGCTATTGCAGCAAAGGTTTGTCGGAACACGTTACTGCAGAAGCCTTCAAGGAACCAGTTGCCCAGCTGCCGGAGGCAAAGGAACACCTAGGAAGCCAATCTGAACCAGTGGTGGCAGCATCCAGGCATGTGAGGGAAATCCATGCTGTGATGCTGTGAATGAAGGTGCAGCCGGGCCTTCCAGTGCTGCTAGGCGCTCCAGCGGCTTTCCCCCTGCCACCTGGCCTTGCGGAGGCAGGGCCAACGTCGAAGAGCGCTTCCACGAAAGACATTGCAGATACTGGCACACATGTTGATCGTTCATGGGATGGGGTGGTTCCCTTTTTTTTGCGGACGCCTGCAACAACACAACGATGGCAGGCGGGTTTGGACCTGCCGCTTGCCCGTTGTGCGCACGAGCCAGATATTGAGGCAGGCCTTGGTTGTGCACGGCAGTTGAGAGCAACAGCCTGTGTGGGAAGACCTTGCTGCTGAAGCCTTGGAGGCGCCGGCCAGCCCTTCGCCTCTGCCACAGGCAGGGAATGCCTAGGACCTTTCTGTCAAACCGATGTTCGCAGCATTCGAGTGCATGCGAAGGTGGAGCTGGGGGTTCCTCCGGGCCTATTTGTGCCGGCGGCCTTCGGTCCGCCACCTGGCCTCACAGAGGCAGCATGCACACTTTAATGGAGGTTGTTACGGTCTGTAACCCGTGTCCCGCAGCTTGAACTCTTTTGGAGGTGGGAAGTCTAGTAGTCTAGGAGCACGTGCAATAGCCGCGCAGGTGTGTCTGGGGCCGCCGCCTGGCTTGTGCCGGCCGCAGCAGGCAGACGTTCTTTGAATCAGCTTGTGAAACAGATTCTTGCCAAGCTGCTGAGGAAGCTTGCGAGGCTGAGCCACCGCAAGGCCCCGAGGCAGGGATTAAGTTTCTGTGGAATAGTAGCAGCAGGTAAGCACAATCAGGAAACCCTTGCTTGTCTGCTGATGTCAGGACGTATGGCAGCCAACGTCGCCAATCATCCGGCATCCAGGAGAGTCCACGTTACCCATCAAGCTCCATCACGAAGAGGCGCGACAAGCGCGACAGTCCGAGCCTCATGTCAGCTTGGCTTTCTCAGGACTGGAACTTCGTGGAGCGCGAGGGCTATGGCGCCTGGAAGGGCATCACCCTTCAGGCTCGCAAGCGAGTGCACATGTCAGGCGATCTCGCTATAGGAGTCCTGCCAGGCCAAGGATTTGTTTGATTGGAGAAGGCCATCAATGTTGACGGCCGGCTTTGTCGCGTTCCACGACTTTCATTGGGCGAGCAGGGAAGAAGGCTGGAACGTACCAACAGCTTCGTTTCCCCCATCTACATACACCTCTTGGGAAAAGTGCAGGCGGGGAGGGTGTCTCCATGAGGGATTCGCCCGCGGATTCTTCGCCGGCCTCGTCAGATTCGTCAGGAACGTCCCCAGCTCAGATCCCGAAAGTGAAGCAACGCAGAGTAGATTGGAATAAATTCCAGATTGCAGGTCGAACTGAAAATGCTCCCTTCTGGAGAGGCTCTTGGTCGAAAGCAGTTCCATACATTGGATTCACACGCCCTTCAACACATGCACCTGTCGGCAGCATTCTAATTCTCTCTCTGTTGCATGGCCAGGCGGATGGGCTGTACTGTACGCACGTGGGCTGTGATGCCGCGGGCCCAGCATCGTAGGATAGATATCGGCCGCCCACCCGTCGATGATCCGAGAAGTCTTTACGCAGATGCGAAAGCTCTTGTTGCATTGCTACGAGCTGCTTCACCACGTGTGTGTGTGTGTGTGCGTGCGTGTGTGCTTGTGTCCTGGCTCTAGGACAGAGAATTCTGCCGCTGCCATCGGCACCGTTGCTGACAGCTGCAAGGAGTCGAAGACTCAGTTCTCAGTATAAGATCTAGCAAGAGCTGGCTGAAAATCCATCACGATGACGATGAGCTCGTTTGTTGATGAACGTTTCGCGAGACTGGCTGGGCAACTCCTACATTACAGCAGGCAGTGACTTTTCCAGCATGTTCCCGGAAGGTCCCGGAAGTGTGCAAGGCAGAACTACAATGAAGAGCTTGCTGATATCGGTAGTTACTCCTTGTTAAGAATTCAATGGTCTAGAACAGGTTCGTTTCCTGAATTCTTCCAAACAGGCGTTCAACAACCCCTGCCTCCAGAGAGCTTCACTTGCACGTTGCCAAGTTGAGGTCGTGCCCGGGGCAACAGTGTGGGACTGGCTGAATTCACTTCCAGATCTTGAGCTGGAGGCCGAGGTGAGCAGATACCTTCATGCTTCTCCTCGACCGCATCTGACGCAACCGCCAATTGTGAACATGCCCAGTTGATCCGACGGAATGTCTCGCCACTCCAGCGTTCTTCCACAAATGCCCCGTGCTCGGATCGTTTGCAGCCGGAGTTGAGCCGGACGAGACAGGCTACAGCAGCATCCTCACTGCCTGCGAAAAGGGGCGGCAGTGACAGATGGTGCTTTGGTTACTGGCGACGATGCCATCTCTTCGGTTGGAACCGGACGTTGTGAGTTACAGTGCTGCGATCAGTGCATGCGAACACGGGCAGTGGACGATGGCGCTGCAACTTGTGGACGAAATGGCGGATGCTGAAGTAGTGGGTGATGTCATATGCTGCAACAGTGTACTCAGTGCCCTTGAATCCAGTGGCCAGTGGTTGCTGACGCTACAGATGCTAGAAGAGATGGAATCCTATGCTGTGACACCAAATGTCATCAGCTTCAGCACCGCCGTCAGTGCTTGCAAGCAGAAATGGAGAACAGCACTCAGTGTGTTGTTCCAGATACCACACTTAGAGGCATCTCCAAAAGAAGCTTACAACAGTGCCATCAAGGCATGTCGCTTATCAGTGGCGCGTGCCCGTGCGACTGATAGAGGACATGCTTGGGGCAGGGACTGAGCCCGATGCAATCAGCTTCAATGACACCATCAGTGCGTTCGAGCACGCAGGCAAGCCATCTTTCACAATTCCAGTCTTGATGCAACTGCAGGACAAGTACCAGGGTCTGCGCAAAGCTGTCGATGCTGCTTTGGCCAAAGTCAAAGACTGACGAGGCAACCAGAGTCGACAAATCACGGCGACAGGGAGCGAGCGTGCCTGACATTTGCAGGTGCCAGAGCGAGTTTCTGGCTAGATGCAAGTGTTTGGGGAAATTGAAGCAGTGTGAGCTGCTTCGATGCCACGTCCCGAGCGAAGCAGCAGTGACTGCAATCTGCATCTTCTCCGGATGGAATGTCGCAACGATAAACGTTGCCGC